GCCCTGCACTGAATTCGATCCTTTCTGCATGAGACTTGCCTCTCTGGATATCTGCACTGTTTATGCAGTGCTCCACAAGTCTGGCTCTCAAGCTTAGAGTGATAATGAAAGCAGCGTGGTTTTCTTCTCAGTGAAATATTCCATTTCCCAAGCAATTAAATGTTGTTTATATTTCAAATGATGTGCAAGAGCTGAGCTTGTCAGGCTTGATGTTACCTGAATCTTGTGCAAGATGCATCCCTGGTTAGCTCATTCTACTGTAACTGCCATCTATTTATTTAAATTTCCAATCTGTGCTCTCTTCAGGGGATAATACAGTGCCTGGCAAAGAAGCAGCGTCTCAATTTTTCAAATTATAGTTTTTAAAATGGTAAACCACATGAATAACTTCCCTGTGCTCATAAAGAAACACTGTATTTAAAAGGGAGGTAAATTCCAGGGTATTGTATATAACTTTCAGATATTTATGTCTCTTTTGCTCAAAATATTTAAAAAACATACTCAGATATAAAAAGATGTCTTTGTTAGATGATGGAACTATTAGCTACCCAAAGCAAATAAGACAGATGTAGCATTTTAAAGGAGCTTATTTGCAAGAAGTGATTTCTGAAGATGATACCATTAGGTACAGATATGCTTGAATTAAGAAAACCATAATGTTTGAAATTCTGCTTTGAAACGCAAATGTCATAAGCACACAGATTAAAATGTTTTGTTCCAATGCACCTGACAGAGCAGCATTCCACTTAAGGATAAAAGGTTCAGTCTATCTCCAGTTGTGTGATGTTCTGGGCACCACATTACTCAGCCCTTTATAAAGCACACAGGAAAACAGATATCAGAGTATGCAAATTTGTACCTAAATATCTACTGACAGATTTCATTGTGCTGTAATAATGCATCTGATGTAACATCAAGGAATTAAAATCTCAAAGACACACACAAATTCTGCAATGAACCAGAAGAAAAGAAGGTCACATTTTTTTGCAATGTAATAGCAGAAGACACAATATTCTGCTGGTTTTGTCCAAACAAGAACTCAGGGTCTGTTCGAAAGGCTGTTTAAGGAGACAAATAACATTTACCCTTCACTTTAACAGACCCTGGAGTCCCAGAATTCATAACCAGAAATTTATTGGGGTATTTTCTCAAGGAAACATAGATAAAAAGGAGCTCATGTTCTTTGTGATGTTGCCCATCTAGTTGGAATGCTGGAATTCATTTCATTCTGATAATCAAGGCTCAGATGTCTTCTACCTTCTATGTGCTGGAGTCATGACAAGTGGGACTCTCTCATGGGAGTCCACAGGAGTGCATGAAACAAATTTAGATAAAATATTTTGTGAGAAGTCATCTTTCCAATGCAGAAAACTTCCTCTTTTATGATCTATCACCAACTTGGCTTCTTCTCCTTTTGGCTCTGGCTGTGACCAGCAGAGAACACCACTAGCAAATTATCAATGCAGAGCAGCTCAAAAAATGTTTAATCAATGAGAGTTAGTAGCATAGGCCTATATTCTAAGAGTTACAGACTCAGGTCCATGGGAGCTACACCCAAGATACTGGCAATATGTCACTACCATGTAGTGAAAAGTGGCAATAACAAAGCACAACAGGTGAATAGGGAGAACAACACCAAAGGCACTTAGAGAAAATTGAATACATTCTTGGCTAACAGCATGAAAGGTCCAGAAAAACAGTCCACACTGCCAAAAAGGAGAAAGCTATGAACAACTTCATTTGCAGGACCCAGAAGACCTTACTGGATTAAAAAAACCCAAACCAAAACCAACCAAAACCCAAACAAATTAAAAGGAAAAAAGGAAAGGGAAAGGGAGATACACATAAAACAACACTGTTTGCCACAGTCTGAAACGGAAAGTGGTAAAAAATTGCACTGGTCCATAGTTTGATGGGTTTTCCTAATTTCTGCATGAATCAAGGTTTCAAAACAAGTTCTTTGCAGATATGAAGGGATTTGGGGAAGTCCACAGGGAGCAGGGAATAGAGAGCATGTCATAAACCCTCATGCTTTTGCTTCATATGCAATTGGTTCTCAGGCCCAGCCACCAGGCAGTGCATTCTGAGGAACTGGTTCTTTTGTTCTATGAAGCTCCATACCAGTAGGGACTACCTGGCTGAAATTTTATAATGAACTTTTGTTTCCAGCCGTACCAGGTGACTTCAGCACATGAGAGGAATAGGAATATTCTGACAACACTGGGACAAGAGTTTCCAGCCCAGTCTGGTACACAAAAACAATGATTTTTTAGTCTTATGCTGCAGTTTGTAGAAGGTGAAGAAAGATATTACCCTCTCTGTTACAGACTCAATAAATACCTAGACCACATTAGGGAACTGGCTGATTAGCCTACTTCATCTCTGCTCACCATCAAATTTCCTTGCTGTCAGCAATTTTCAAGGTTATTTTGACAACAAAAATTGTGTCAATTCAGACCAAGTTGTCTACATCTGTGATTGCAAAGCAGTATCTTGGGATGAGAGATGTTTAGCTATTTTGGCTTGATTTTCAGCTAGAGTTGCTTTGTGAACCTCTGGAGGCACTGCAGGAGTTGAAACCGGTGTGTTGGGCACTTGCAGCTCTACCTCATGAGCTGGCAACAGAGCTCAATAGTCTTTTGAAGTGGGTACCACAGCAAGGTCATGACTTTCCTTAAGATAACAACTGCAAAGCATCTGCTCAAAACCCAGTCTTTCAAGGTAAATCCTGCCAAGTTCAGATATATTCCGATCCTTCTTTACTTTAGGATGAATTGTCCAGGATCTTGCAGCAATGCAAATCTGGTGATATATGGAGACCTGATATTTTGACTCCAAGTTTTACATATCTGTGTGTGTATGAGTACATATACCTATATATTCTGCAGTCTTCCCTGAAGTCCACATTTAAGTTGTGAATGTATGATGATGGTTGGACTTGATCTTAGAGGTCTTTTCCAACCTTAATGATTCTATGATATGGATTGTCCTTTGCCAGAGTTACAGAATTTTCTTTAGTGCTGCTTTACTTCTTTTCCTAGGATGTCAAAACGAGTTCATGTAGTGAATCCATGTTGCCCAATGGATGTCGTAATGTTCAACTTCACTATCTTATAGATGCTGGCTATGATGCAATAGGAAATGGAAAGCAGACCTGTATAACAACTGAACCCCACTCCTGCTTTCCATAACACCTAGGATAGGAGACAACTCATGCCCAGTGAAAAGGGGCTTTTTGCATTCTCCATCCCCAACTATCTGTACAGATCCAGAGATGGTGCCATTAATCTTGCTAAGAGGCAACTGCTAATTAGCAAATCTTTTAAAATTGCAATATGTTCTTTTGCCATTTTGTTTTCATAATTTTTTTATTTCAGAAATTAATTCTGCATTTTTCTGAAAGTTAATTTCCAGATAAATAGTCATTTACATGGTGTTGGTCTATTCATGCTCAAAATATTTCTATATTAAACTTCTGAATACATGTCAAGCTCTGACCAAATTTCCCTTGGGAGAACCAAAGATATAAATGCTTGGAATAGATTTTAATTAACTATGGAAACTTCACAGAATAAAAAGAAAAACCCTTCTAAATATAGACATCTTAAAAATCTTGCAAAAAAACATATTCAGTTGCCCCAAGCCATGACTAGCCATATGGAAGAAATTGTCCAGACTTCTTGCATTTTCTGACTTAGTTCAGGAAACCTGTAGGCCTTACTACACAAAGAAAAACTTCCCTACAAAAGATTAATTCCTAAAATATTCAGCTGAAAACAGAGGGATCTAAAACTGGACTGGAAGCTAGGTAAGAATTAAAAATTCTTACATTAGGGCGCCTTTCCTCCTTCTCTCCTGGCCTATCAATCCATCTGTGCTATGTTACCAATCTACCAGTTACTTAATGAATTATTTAATAGAGGAGTGTATTTGGTGAGAATGACAGTCAGTCAAACAAATAACAGACCGAGGAGGTAGCAGCAACAACAGCAACCAATGCAGTACTCAAAGAGACAGTAGGGTGCATCTCTGCTCCATGCTCCAAGGATGCAACACTTAGCACTATCCTTCTTTGGCTTCCCAAACATGTTTCATAGTTAGGACAGAGATCAGTGTGATGACAGCTAGATAGCCTAAATCTAATCTAGATAATTCTGAAACAGTGGCAAGAATCACAGTTTCTTGTGACCTGGCACACAGTGAAGTAACGTGCTTGGCCACCATGGGGGAAAGAATGCCAAACACAATTGCTAAACACTTAATGAAAACAAATACAACTCTCAACAGTATGAAGAGTTCTTTCCTTGATATTTTTAAAAATTTCTTTACTGTGAATTACTTTGTTTCTTAGTTTCTTACTTTTTATATTATTTAAGATGAATCCTCAAAGTGCACCCTTGAAAAATGTTAACTCAGTAAATGTACCTAGAAAAAACCAAACAAGGAAGCAAACACAAACCAAAACATGATGCTATCTTGCACAAAGAATTCTAACCCTAAAGAGGGAATGAAAGAATGGAGATAAGCTGTACTGCTGCATCTGAGAGGGACGTTAAAACACAGCACATGAGGGTGACTTAAATGCCAGGGACAGTCACACACGTGATATTGTAACCTATCAGTCAAAGACTAAAAACATTTTAAGAATCTGGCCTTTATTATGAAAGAAGGATGCTCGCAACAGGTTGTCTTTTTATTAGAGTATTTACAAGGTAGATGATGACAGCAACAGAACTGAACAAAACTCCACTGTAGTATTACGAAGGATGCATTTTAGCTGTTTAAGGACAGGTAGATGGACAGACACCACACATTTCTAGCATGTGGGTGAGTATCATTACCACTGGCATAGAAATGCCAGAGAAAGACATTTCAGTGGGGGAGAGCTAACAGGGCAAGTAATGAGATACACTGGAGAGAAACCAGCTCCCTTGTGCTGACTTCAGGATGGCTCCTGCTTTTAAGGAATAATGAACTGAAAAGTATCAAATGCTGCTTACCTTTCAATTTTTCAGCCAGCAAAGCAGCTTCGTGTTCAGAATAATGCATTATTGCTGGAGGTGAAGGAGGGCGCAGTCTGTCTTCTTCCATTTTGCGTCTGTGGCGTTCTTCTCTGGCCAGCATTCTCTGTTTGCATTCCCATTCATAAAAGTCATCTCTTGCCTGAGCAAAATCAACATGAAGGCGACCTGAATCCTTTTTGTCTGTGCTAGATCCTAATCTCATGCGGTAACCTGAAATCAACAAGCAGAACTAACTGTTGCAGTATTTATTTGCTTGAATTTCCTTTTTTTTTCCCCTCTTCAAGGCAGCTAAGGAAAAACATACATTAACAGATTCCCACATATCCATGTAGGGTTTATTGATCATCCTGTTTTTACAGGAAGATAAACATTCATCCACTTATTTTCCTTTGCAATTTTTTGCACCACCTATCAACATAGCAGATGAACTGGAAAGTCAACCCAAAGGTACAGAATCTACATTCCTGTTTAGAAATCTCTCAAAAGATATAATTTTTCTATTTGATGCTCCAAATATTTAAAAGTTCAAAGGTTAGGTAAACAAAATGTGGTCTGAATGTGGACTCCTTCTTCTCCTGATCCTGTAAAAGATCGCGTACAGTTTAGTGCTTTTCTCCAGCCTGCCAAAGGAACTGGAAGTATGGAGGAAGGCTGACTTTCACAAAAACCATCACTACAGGTGAATGTAAAAATTATGCTACATAAATTTCTGTGCCAAGAAGAATGTGGTTTCATAACTACACTGATGCTAGATCTCTAATTTTGAGACTTTACAACTGCAAACACCATTTTTCAATTCCCCAGTGGAAATAATCTAGTAGCAAACATAAACCAACTACAAATTAAGTGAGTTTGTCATTCTTTAAAGTATGGACAGACATATTAGACATTTGCAAGACCCCTTTCAGAGCGAATAATGAAACTCATTGTGCCTCATCTTTAGTGATATTCTGCATATTCATAATTTGGTCAATGTATGATACGCTAAAGTTAGCAGACTGCAAAGACATAAAGTCAGGAGCTACACAACAGTACAAAGGGGCCCTGCTCTGAACTAAAAACCTTAACTGCTGACAGAGGACAATCAAATCATGTCAAAGCTACAAACGGGGCTTTTTTTTTGTGACCATACTTAGGTACTTATCTTTTTTCAAGTTTTATTTCCAAGGCTAAAAGACATGCACAGACCTGTTTGTCTAACTTTAAAAATGCCACTTCAGAGAAAGTGTGAGAAAATACTATGCAGAAAGCTGCAAACAGAGTCTTCATATGCAGGTAAAATTAATCAGTCTGCACAGGGCTAGCTGTAATTTCTCCATGCCAAGCCGTTGAGGTGGACTCAGAAGAACAGCCCAGCAGAGACTTCTCAAATGACAGGATGCTGCAGAGATGAACTCTGTGCTGAGCTGGCACATAGGAGGCTCTTGAGAAATGCACGCTACTACAAGCACTGCATAATAACTCCAGGGAGGGAAAACTTCTGATCAAGATGGCAGGAAAAATGGTGTTTGTTGCTTTTGAACAGCAATCCAAGAGAGCCTACCTTTCAGTCTTGTGACTTGCCTGTGGTGTGAAGAGCTTCAGCACCTCACCACCAGTTAAAACTCAGTTTTGAACTCTTTCCAGGGACAGCAAAGCTAAGAATTGTGTAGTAGATCAGGTGCATCTTTACAAAAATGGGTATTTAGGCATGCTCTGTTTGTTCTACTGCTGGGAAATTATCCTGCTGTAGGAATAGAAGAGACTTCAAAATTCAAAGCTTCAAAGACATTAAATATCCATGTATGTAGAGATCCTTAAAAAAAAAATCTGGGAGCCTTTTCATTTGACAGTTTTCTTTCAAACACTTTGTGGAGTAGCTAAGTAGCCTGCCAGTGAAGAAGAGATGACTTTCATTGTCCAGCAAGGAGTCCAAACTCAGATAAAAAACTTCAGCTAAGTGTTTCAGAGGTCCTTCAAAGCCAGAAGGTATCCAAAACTGCCATGAAACCTATTAAATCTGGTCTCCAAGGTTCAGGAGCTTGGAGTGAAGGAGAACTGAATATCGCAAGAGAGGCAAAGAAGGGGTTGTTTATTATTTTCAAGTCCCCTTTGCTTTGCTTTGCTTTCTCTAGCTCAGAGGAGTAACCACCGCTCTATCCTCCAGAAGGTTTTTTGTGGTCATATATGTAGTTGTAGTCCTGAGGTGTTGAAGGGAAGACTTACAGATACACCATATTTATTACAATATAATAGGAGTGTGGGTGACCTTTCAGAGCTGGGTCCTGAACTAATGAAGGCATAATTATGTGGCTGCATCCACAGAGGTGTCGGCATAAAGGAGTCAGCCAAAAGGGGTCAGTGGTGCAGCCACCCTGATAACTATGACCAATGTTAGGCTCCCTCTCCCCGCCACTTCGACTCGCCAGCTGCATTCCTCAAACAGTGATTGCTCTGTGCCAAAACAGCACTATCAGCAATGTAGAGGACACTGCCAAGGTGCCAGGTCTTGTGAACCTAAAATTAGATCTCCCAGCTGGGCTGTACTTTCCAGGAAGACATGATCACTCTTCCTCCCTCCCTACCTCCTGTCTTTCGCCTCCACTGGCAGGACCACACTAAGCATGGGCAGAGACAGAAGCACAGTGCTGTAGAATGCAAAACTTGTGGACTTAAAAGCCCCCCCCAGTAAAGAACTAATGAAAAGGACTGTGCATCTATAGGTTGTGTGTGTGCTGGCAAAGTTGAGTTCTATTAAAGTGGCTCTTATTTTTAAGGAAAAGGGAATAATGGAAAACAAAAATCAAATGGTAAATTGCAGTTCAAAACCCAGTACACTGTGTAGCACTGGGCAAATGGTTCCCTTTAGGTAACCAGTTTAAGTGTCTTTAAAATGACAGATTTTTGAAATTGCCCATGACTCACACTGTAAAAATCTGACTGCTCGTTTAATTCTTAAGACTGAAGGTGGTCAGCCAGACAGGTGGTTTCCACCAGCACAGAAACTTAGAATAACCTGGGTCATAAGGGACCTTGGATGTCACTTAGTCTAATGCCTCTCTCAGAGAAAGGTTAGCTTCAAAGTCCAATCAGATTGCTCAGGGCTTAGCATCTTTTCCTTACCAAAAACAACAAATGCCTTTGGAATGGCTTCTTGCAGCCTCATAAATTAGGCTCGGCAGACAGGAGCAATGGCCTGGCCAGTGAAGCACAGACTCCTTGATGGGGTCATAACCAAAAAGACACTGCATAGCAAGGGGTGCACAACTGGCAGGTCCTATTTTTCATATGAGATCCTCAGGTACACATCTGTGCTGGACACTTTGAGCCACAAAGCAGCTGGGAGGCCCACTCTTTCTCAATACCATGTCTCCTTAAGTCATGTTTGAGACTGTTTGAATGTATGAGAGGATCAACCACCTGCCATGCCTCTCCTTCATGCATGGGCAATGAATTTTTTCCTCCATCTTTTTACTCAGGACTGCAGCTAGCATTAACTTTGTGCCTGGCTTGTCATTTTTAATTTCAGTTTCACACACAATGACAGAGGAAAAGACTTTGGGAACTTGCCAAGATCCTCACTTTAAATGAGCAGAAACAGGAAAAATTAATGAAGGTGCTAACTGAAAATCAAACAGTATTTTGATATCACAGGCCTAGTGAAAACTCCATGGCTTGACTTACCTTTGAGTGTTGCTATATTAGGAACTGGCCAATAGCTGCTCTCAGATAAGAGTGTTAATGATGATCAGAGAGAACTTAAAATAAATTGAGTACATGGTACTAAAAGAAAACCTGCAGGGGAAAATACCAGCACAGGGAAAATGCATACACAGGCTTTTGGGGTGCAACAGGTTTCTCTCAAGCCACTTGTTTGTCCCATATTTTCAATATGCCATCAATATTTTCAGGAGTAACTTAACTGTCAGCCACAAGAGTAAAGTGCATATAGTTTTGGGAAAGAGCTTTCTCATGGGCTGGTACGATGATTTTCCAAACTCTTTGCCTCAGGAGATCAAAATACAACTTTCAGGACTAAATGAAACCTAGCCTTCCTCAATTCAACATTTTTGTCAGTCTGCTACCCATCTCCCAGTATCCCTTTTCACACATGTTTACTTGGGAATACAAAGAAAAAAAAATCAGTGATTAAACTACTTGATGGATTTTGTAATCACTTGCACTATTCTGATGATAAGCATGAGATAAATGCAAAGCTTGATGAGATTAGATGGGGTAGACAGATAAAACTGATTGGGTGGACAAAATTATCATTATATCACAGATATCAAAGGCATGACTTTCCCATAATATAACACACATACTGTATTAATCACAAATTCTATCTGTACGTCTCTTTTGTTTCTTACAAGGAAAATAAAATGCCTTAACAATATGCTTTATTCCCACCATTTCAGAATACATTATGTTTGAGAACAGACTGGTTAAAATCCCCCAATATTTCAGCACAAAGAAAAGATGCCATTGCCTAGTGTCAGACCTCCCTGTCTGAGGTGGTGGAGGACAGTTAGTGTTTCCTGTTTCACTTGCAGAATTTAATGGCCTAGGTAAAAAGAAGTGAAACTTGGCTACAGAGTGCCCCTGCATTTCTTCCTCCTCCCTGTCAGTTCCACTGGTTCTTGCCCTATATGGTCAGAGACACTAGATGTGACGTTTTGGAAGAATGAAAAGGTGTGGAGGGAAAGACAGATGGGGAGTGATGCTGCAGAGCAGACTTAAGAAGAAGTGAAGACAGCAGTGCAACTGTGACAAAAGGAAACAGAAGAAGGAAGGATGGATCAGGAACTTGGAAAAAAACTTGCAGAAAATTCAGAATTACAAAGAATGAGGAAGGGAATCTTCCACCTCTATTTCGACTCATTTCCCTTACTCCGAACGCACACTCTAGTGTGTTATGAATAAGGATACATAGCAGTACAGGGAATTTCCTACCTCTGATCATCAAATCTGGTCCTTCAGGATTTAAGGCAAAAGAAATTAAAATAAAACTTGTAGTGAAGCAAAGGACGCAACCAACTGCTGAGAAGCAGGAAACTGAGCTAGAGGGACATTGGCTCTGGCCCAGGGTGGCAGCCTGTACATTTCTGAGCTTTTCTTTGCTCATTATCATAATACAGCAATACCAGCTCCTACTCAATCTGGTGTGCCTCTCCCCTGCTCTGTTAATTGTGGAGATGGGGCCCCCTAGACAGAAGCTGGAAGCTGGGAAATGCGCTACTGCTTGTGATGCCTGTAGTCTGTTGCAAGGAACTACAGTATTTTGGAAGTACTGTAAATAAACAAATAAACAAGAGGGACGGAAATCAGGAAGAGAGGATAAGGAGGGAAGAAGAAATGAATTTAAAATATAAAAAAAAAAGAAAGGAAGAAAAAAGATCAGGGTGTAATGAAGATCTGAAAGAAACATGAAAATATAGCAATATTTCAAAGAAATCTTTATATAGATCCCATAAAAGTTATTATTTTCTGTAGCTCTTCAAATAGATATTTAAATCAAGCAGCCAAGTTAGAAAAAAACCCCAACAACCCACAAACCCTAACAAAAATGTCTGTGAAACAAAGGAGTCAGGTTTCTCCTGATGACATATTTCAAATGTCCAGGTGGTTTCTTTTCTTTCATTCTTTCATTTTAAGATGATGGTGTTTTGAGAGGACTTGTTTCTAGCTGTGTGAGCTTCCTATGGACCTACAGAATGTTGAGGTTAAGTCCTTATTACTATGCAGAAGATGGTCAGGGTGGGAGCTCAAACAAGGTATCCAAGGTCATTAGCTGCTTCCCAGGCTCAAATTTGGATGGTCCCAGTGGGTCATTTTGAGGCCATCCTACACAGGATGGGTGGATGTGAGCCAGTCTGTGTCAGCTCATCTTGGCCAAGAAGCAGTTCCTGGACCTGGTTTATTTAAGATTACCTTGCATATGGGTTGAAAGTATTACACTACATTTGTGGGGCAAAACAACACTTGCCAGTCTCTTTGGGACACAGAAAGATAAACCATCCTGTAGAGTGTAGACAAATACATACAGGGCATGGGTTCTAACTCAGCAAGGTTAAAAAGTGCTCGGTTAGGAAGCTAATCCTCAAATGACAGAGACCATAACCTCAAGAGGACACTGACAGCCATGGAAGCCTGATATGTGAAAGCAAAGTTGCTTTTCATCTTTTTTTTTCTTTCTTTTTTCCCCTCTGTGAGTTAGTGGGTTTGGGATTTGGGGTTTTTTTTTCTTTTCCTTTGTTGGAAAATAAAGAGATTCTGAAATTTTACATGCAAGTTTCTGTAGCACTCATTGTCCTGGGAGGCAACAGACGTAGCCTACAGATGGGGCTCAGAATCTAACCCATACGGTAGCTGAATACATGCATGCATAAAGACAGACTTTATTCAGGCTGCACTGCAAATCTATAAAAATATGCCAATGAAATTGCCAGCCCATCAGAGAAATTGGCACTGGAAAACAGCAGAGTTCCTGGCCTGGTGCCTTCGTCTTTCCACAACCTGTGAGCAAAACTATATAAACCTGTGTAAATCGAAAATAAGATTGTTCTGTAGTGAATTTCAGGGTCTGCTGCATTGTGGTGGGATGGCAGGAAATTGCTCCTGGGTAAGCAACATACAAAACCATGCACAAGTCTTGGCAGACACAGAGAACTAACAGAATTGCCCCTTGCCACTCCAAGCTACAGCCACTGAGTTCAAGAAAGGCTTGCTGAGATAAAAGCTAAGAAAATAAGCAAGCATTAGCATCACAAAATACAAATGAGAAGCAAGGAAAATCCATTAAAGAATGTGAAGTACCAGAAAGGTAAATGGCTTTATCAACCATGAACTCCTCTGCAAAACGAATGTGACAAAAATTCTTCTTGCTTTTCCGAATTGCTGTTATATCTCCACACTGCTCAAAGACTTCCTGAATAATTTCCTCTGTTGCGTTTTCTGGTAATCCTCCAACAAACACTGTTTTACACCCAGGAGGTCTCTCTCTTGTTGAAGGTGGTGGAAGATCTAAGTCAAAACAGAAATCACATTGGAATACAAAATTTGTCTTTTGATCCATTGGCTCTATTCATCCCCTTAATCAGTTCCGGGCAGCAACAGTTATTTGACATAGCATAGAGGCAGGAGAGAGGGACTAGCAAAATAATTGAATATTGCAAAGACTGTCCAAAACTGATTACTTGAATCTAACCCTTTTCAAGTTTCAGATGGTGTTTCAGACATTAATTCCTGTCACTGTAGGTTTTTCTACGGGACAGATGGTGACGTCTAAGAGGATCTTTCTTTTCCCTGCACAGCCACATAAAAAATAGAATATATTCTGTTTCAAAGCAGGGCAGGTTCTGCAACTGGTTTGACCCCAAGCATTCAAAGCCTGTTCACCCTTTCTGGCTCATATCCATCACTTGCCAAACTTGCCAAGCGTGTGGGCTCTCTGCAAGCAAGCCCATGCTATGTACACCCTGTGCACTTGGGCAGGACTCCTTTCCCTGGTCTTAGCATAATTTCATTTCTGCCTTAGAGTACAGGAGCACAGCAAACAGAAAAACAAAGTGGGAAACACAACAAAATGACAGCATGATGAAAATGCTCTGCTGGTTATCTGTTTTGTCTTGTTGCCAGATAATGGAGTGGACGCCAGCACACAGGAAGGATAACCTCGTTGTTTACAAGTGCTCATGAGGTGGAGTAGCTAGAAATGCTATTTTCATGTATCTATATGTAGAATATATTCACACATAAATTGGAAAACTATTAAATTTATGAAGACCGTATAAAAACATACTCTGTCATAAAACTTCACCTTGCTTATATGTAGATTACTAGAGTATTCCTCCAAAAGTATTTCTGTAAGAAAGAATCTCACTGATATGACTTCATTTTTGACCCTTTAACACAGTAAATGGAGTTGCAACCTTAGAATATATATA